TGGAGCGACGCGCGAGATACTATGTTTATGTTTCGGGTCGCCCGTCGCTCGCGCTCGCTGCCGCGCTCGCCGCCCGCGCCGCGCTCCCCGCCGCGCCTAGGTTTTTTCCCACCACGATGTACCTCGCGCGTCGCTCCACCTCCCGCTCATCGATCGATTTTCTTAAATGCCTTCCGAGTCCGGCCTACCGTCTCCTGCATCCTCATTCGCTCAAACGTGTAAATTAATTACTCGATAACTATATTGTTACTTTCGTACCGCGGCACATGACATTTCTCCTTAGTTTAACCCAATCTACCACTATTTTCAAGTTGGCTACTTTTGCATCAGACACCCTGTATATATATCTATAATATTTTTGCAACGGCCAGAAATTTTCTGAGCTAAGATTGGATTATTATTTTAGTGGAATAATTCAATTTCAGCACTTCCAACAGTTGTAAAAAATATTCTGCTAAACGCGACCAATGTTAACTCAATATAATTTAACAATGTTCTCTGAATGTTGAATTGTAACGTTTACAAAACATTACAATTCAGCGGACATTAGACGCTTTTGCAATATCTTTTCAACGTTGAATCTGCGTTTCGTAACATTGATGCAATATTGCAATGTTGTAATGGAACGTTTCTGAGATGTTGATTCAACATTTGTGTGCTGTATGGGTAGGTACTCTAAGGGTGGCTAGTGGCCAGTCATCGGCCAGCAGCTCACACGGTCGCAGGTCCGAATCATGATTTCGGTGCTGAACCTGATTTAATTTTTATTATTTTCGACTCAGCTAATGTGCGGTCATTTCAATTATCAAAACACATCGTATGTACTTTGATGGCTACGTTAGAGTACCTAACTTTGCTGGCCATTTTGACAATCACCAAATTGATCCCATGTACTACATCTCGTTGAAATCGTCTCGACGAGGAGAATTAAATGACACCATCAAGTCCCCGTTCTATTTCAACATACTCATTTGAATCGTTTCCAAAATATAAAGAGTGGTTACAAACTTTATGGATACGCTGCATATTTTCGTAGTAAAATGGTTTTGTTTACCTCAGAGAGTCCTAATATTCATACTTTTCTATAGGAAAGCTTGAAAGTCCCGATTGAGAGGAACACAGATACGTTCGTATTTCCAGAAGTAGGCATTTAAATCGATCGCATAGTTTTAAATGATGAGGAATATTTATCGTCAGATATTAATTGAGCGTAAACTTAACGATCGCCAGTATCTCCAGTGTAAGTATGACAAAATTTTCTTGCTCACAGTTAATTTTTATTTAACCAGTGACGCCGAAGTAGAAAAGAGAATTGCTGACTGTTTCAGATACAAGAAATATACGTGATGCTGTTGCTTCCAAACTACTTGCAGCTGTGCATCAAGCTGCGGCATGCTGCTGAAGATTGTCCCGAATGTACCGATGCCTGTATAATGTTAGAAGAATTCTGTATATTTGCCGCAGAACTGGCACGTCTGTGCGAGCGAGGGTAACATGAAAAACTTTACAATATATCGACAGATTTGACTTTGTTACATGCTTCTCAGCAATTTTCAAGACATCACATATAATTCTCTTATGCAGTAACGGCTTCCATTTCTTGCGAGCTAAATTATTATTTGCTTCTAAAACAAATCTTTTTTTTCTATATATCTTTGATCAATCATTATATAGATGAACGGAAATCTATATGTTTCAGGCAAAAAATATTCAGCGTTTAATTATGATTGTAGTGAGGATATTTAAAAGCAATGATGAAACGCAATGCGATGTCTGTCGTTACAAAATTATTTGATGTTTGGAAGTACGTTCAGCTACAAAATGATTAATCCGTGCTACTATCTGATATATCATATTATCACACTCTGATGACATCTTGATATTATTGATGAACTCTGTTATATAGACTGACATATAATTTTATGATCGGAAATGACTCCATAAAAAATTACCAAATATTGCGTAGCTTTGAATAACGAATTTTATTAATATTGCTAACATACCTTCCGAAGCATCGTATTGTAATAACTTACACTACTTAGAGGATGCGTACTCAAATTAGAGAAAAAGTTTCCTTGTCTTCCAGGCATTTTCGTTCAAATTTTTCAACAAAATTTAATCGTTTTTATATTCAAATTTAAGTTCTCTTCCTTATTCATATAATTATGTGGAAAGGATTATAATTATTTCAAATATTGGTAAAATATTGAAAAAAATAGAGGAGAGAAAATACAAATGATAGTTTCAGTTTTTCGAAGTAATCTGCAATCTGACATCTGATGCTGTCACGATATCATGATGTGCAGGAATACTAGGTTTGGCTCCTGGACCGGAGCTGCGTAATTCCAGCGTATTCCAACGTTTTGTTTTCAGTTCACTTCATCAAGAAGGAACAATCTGATATTGACTTGTTCCTTGATAGGTGATTGACCTTTATACATACATATAGTGATTGACCATGTAAGGAGGGAGGTAAAAGATAAAGAAGGGAGGGTAAGGGAATTTGATTGGTCAAAATTGAAAAACCAGAAGAACAAATTGCCAATAGAACTGATCTGTCTTTATTAAGATTGTTGGAATGCTTTGAATTTCTAAGAATTCCCTGTATTTTCCAGGGAAGTAAATGTTAGTCTCGACTAGTACCAATATTTTATCCAACAAAATTTTATGTCCGCTGTCTAGGCTGTATTGCTCTAATATTGATTGTTATGTGTTTTGGTCTAACAGTATTCTGATGTTCTTTTAATGTACTCTACCCTTCCAGTCTCTTCTATGTAAACGCAGGAGCAAAATTCTCTGTATATCCCTGGAATGTCTAATGGGAATCTTTTGTCTTTTAGATTGTCTAGGTACTGTTCTATTTTTATTGGTTCATAGATGATTTTGTATTCTGATGTTTGTTCAGAATTTTACGAATTTTATCTGTAATTTTATGTATGTATCAGGGAAAGGTGATAGATAGATTTTTATTCTTGGGATTATTCAGTCTCAGATATATTTTTGTTTGATGTTTTTTAATTATTTTATTTATCTGTGTTATCGTGTGTTTTTGTTTTTTTGGAACGTGTTTCTTACAATTAGTTTCTTGAGTCAGGTGATGGTATAATTATAGGTGTGTCCAGGGGAGGTACTGATAGTGTGCTATGGCACTACCAAAAAACAGGTTTTTTTTACTTTAAAAAATACAAATACAAAATTATTTTCATGCACCCAGCGAAGGGTCGCGGCTGAGTAACGATGAGACAATTTTATTTTATTTTATTTATTAAAATGTTTTGAAATTTAAAATCGCTGGCACCACCAAATAAAATAGTCTGCGCACGCCTATGGGTGTGACGTGGTATGGAAGTATCATAATTTGTGTGTATGTACAGGTTTTTTATAAACTCTGTGACCTAAAAAGCTAAACATTTTATTTTCTTGTGATTCCATTCACACGAAATGTTAGAACAAATGGTTAACTTATGCGGTTCTATGGTGGAAGTCGAGATATATTTTGGTATATTGATGCTAAATCTTCTATTTGTAAAGGATTTCATTTGTAATATATAAAAAAGATAAATTATTGTAAGGAATGTGAAATAATGACGTAAAATTATATTTTAAATATTCTTTTTAAGCACTACTAAACCGATTAAAAAATTTGTTTTAATTTCTTTAAGTATAAATAAATTTTGAATGTCTTGTTGAAAAAAATTACTCGTTTTACTAAAAATTGTAAGCAAAGTTGCAAAAAACGGATTATTTTTTTAAATGAAATTATTATTTCAAATATTTTATAATTCAAATTTAAGAAAAACTTGTTGAAAAAAATGTCGATTAAAATGTTACCGATTAAGTTATTATAGAAAAAGAATAAAATAAAGATTATTTATATACATATGTTGGTTTAGTGATGAGCAAGAGGAATATAAAAACTGATAGTTTTGCCTTATGATAATTTTATAATTACATTTCATCCCGCCCGCCCTCCTCCCATAAATATTGTCAAAAAGTCCTTGACAGAAATTCTATAAAAAGAAATAAAAGTGACTGCACATATAGGCCATGTTCCCTAATTTTTTCACACTCAAATTTATGGCTATGTTTAGCAAATAAAAGATCTTGTTGAGTTGATTGCAAATATGTCGGTGCTAAAATGGCTGCTTTAGCAGAAAAAGCTGCTTTGCAACTGTTGTAAAATTCGTGAATCTGATTAGTGTATTCTCTTAATCTTGAGTGAATTTAAGAGCATACGCCAATCAGATTCATGAATTTTACAACAGTTGCAAAGCAGCTTCTTCTACTGAACGTAGCCAATGTACCTCTTTCTTATTTCCAAGAAAATGGCAATTCTTATGTTTTGGAATTAACCTTTTAATGAGTTAGCCATTCGCTGACCGTGGGACCTTCTCGGAAATGAGGAGAAGGTACATTTTGGTAGCGACATATTGTAATCAGCTAATGAGATCTTTCATTTGTAGTTAAACATGTTCACAAATTCGAGTATGAAAAAAATAGGGGACGTCTTGCGATCGCCTTTATTTAAATCCACATTTAAATAAAACTGATTAAAAAAATTTTAGAACAAATTTATTTTAGTTTATTTACACAGTAAAAATGAAATGTTTGAAGAAATCATAATTTTGATAAAATTTCTTTAAAATTTCTTTATTTCAGTGGGCAGAAAAATTTTTTTCTTCCAAATTGTAAATACTCTGATTTGTGTTTTCATGTATGGGAAAAATTGTAAAATTAATAACAGTTGTATATGATCAAAGTAGTGTTGCAAAATTGAAAAAAATTGATTTCTAATCATAAAATTTCATAAGTCAATGTGCAGGCTTACACGCATGATAAAACAAATGGTAAAATTACTTAAATATTAAGTCCTGTTGCAAATATAACCACGAAAATCTAATAAATATCAGTCGAGTGTCATCATGTCGAGTGTGACAATACTAGATCGGTATACGAATTAAAATACTGAAATTGTACCAGCTAACATCTATTCTTGTTCACCTTTAGAACAGCAGCTGTTCCTATGAACGCCTCTTGCTCATTACACGGTGATGGAAAAGGCATTAATCACAAAACTGGCTCAAGTAAGTCACAAACAACGGTGTTTGCAATGCACCGTTCAATAATATCGACGTGGCGATATTTTGTGTCCCGACTATTTACTTATTTGTTGATTAACTGCTTAGAAAGGATGGCATATGAGGTATTTTTGGGCGGGTCTTGTAATCCAACTACCTGGAGGTCAGACATAGCAATACCGACTCTTCAGAACCTTGGTATTACTTATTATAATCCCGTAAGTAGTTTATCTTCCTGGGTTTCTTTTTCAATTTCACGAATGTAAGATATTGGATTGTGCATCGCAGCAAGTGTCGCAATGGGGTCCGGAATTAATAGCTCAAGAATATGAGGCAAAGCAGACGGCGCGAGTCCTGCTGTTTGTCATTGACAATCAGACACGCAATAGTGCGGGCATCATTGAAGCAGCTCAACTAGCAGCTACACGTAGAGAATCCTTGGTTCTTGTCATTTATCCATATCGTCAAGGACAGACGATACTTGGAGAGGCTGTTTCCACGCAGTACGTTATTTCTTACAAATCAATTGGTTTAACGATATATTATACGATTGTGATGATTTTTCTCTTATCGGTACATATTTTATTCTTCAGAGAATATTATGATTTGATGAACGGATTGTTAGTGCTTCAGTACCTAATGGAAAGGCAAAGGATACCAATATTCGAGAGCGTATCAGTTGCCCTTCACTGTACATCCAAGGTAATGGCTCTACTTAAGGGACAAATGCTTCAGAATTAATGATTAATATGTATTATTTATACATAGATGTTACGCGAAAAGATCAACGTGCAGGATTGCATGAGCACTGAGGATGGCATCAGACCTATAAGAATCTCGCTTACTCAAAATGGAACGGATGCAGTGTAAGTTTTTAATCGCCTGTCTATATTATATGTAAATAAATGTAGAATAATTTAACAGTATCCTGACAAACATATAATAAGAATAAAACAAGCAATTGCCCAATAATCCATATTTAGAAATGTATAATTTCGAAAATATCTAATATTGAAAGTTATAAGGTTTAAATCATATTAAAGGCATAAATCTAGATCTCTAAACGGTGCTAGTTTTTTATTCGTAGTTGTTTAATAAGAAAACAGTTTTTAATAAGATATTTGGCAACAAAAATAACAAGTATAATAATGATTCAACATGCTATCAACAGTGTTATTACAGTATTGACAGTTATCGACTCTGATACATAAATTGATATCTTCCTATACATTGTTATTCTCAATGTTTAGTTGCTAAGACATTTAAAGTCAGCTGTAAGAAACAATAACTTCTGAGTAATTTTTCTTAATAATGAGATGATGTGATAAATAACGTGTCATAAATGTACTAATCAAACTCTTGAAAGTTTGGATGGGAACATTGTTGATCAAAGTGCTAGATAAAAAAGGCGATATACACATACACGCACGCACACACGCATGCACGCACGCACACGCACACACGCGCGCGCGCGCATATACATGTATAGAGATACATGTAATAATTTTCATGTAATTTTTTTATTTGATATCTGCAAAGGTATTTCTGAATAAGAATATATTTCCAGAATCGTTTGTTTTTTTTATCACATCTCTTTAAACTTCTTTATATGTTTCTAAATCAGCATATGTAAAAATAACATATTATGTGTAGAAATAACATGTACAAATAATTTATACAGAAATTTTATTTACATGACAGAAAATTGCGGGAAATTTTCAAATCTATGGACGTTAATGATAGTGGCACAGTAAAGTTAGGGGAAGTATGTACATTTATCACAAATTTTTTTGAAAAGTTCACCAACGCGTTATTACGATCTCTTTTTATTTTCAGGCCTGGATGATGTTGCAGTCGAGTGCGATGTGCAACAATGTGTCTCTTGCGGATCTGCTCAACATGGTGAATAAGTCTGGTAATGCTCGCGTACCGTATCTTTATGGCATTTAACAGATTTGTTTTGACGTAAAAAAAAATTAAAGTACAATGTGTTCACCGCGCAGAAATCTATAGGACATTGATAGACGGATTTCCGGCGAAAGGTGACCCAACCGAATTGCGAATCAATTTCGAGCAGTTTTGCATTCTAGCCAGCGAGTCGTTACGGATGCGGACGAAGAATAATGGCGTCTCTTGTGAAAGTGAGATACCTTCAGTATGGAATATATTATGTAGGAAGACCTCAAATTTCTTGCGCCGAGTTATCGTACATCCTTTTAATCGCCTCCTAGGTATTTCTGATTTTCAACAATTTCCCACGATCTTCGGTGTACTCACTGTCTACACTTCTCGCCACCTAAACTTTTCATTTTCTCGCTTCCCACGATTGAGCACTCGATTTTATCTATTACATAGAGCAGGTAAAAACGGGAGTTTGCGTTTAGCTATCAAGGATTTAAACCTTTTCAGATTGGACCAATTCCTTTGTACAAGAGTTCGAGAAGAGGGACATTTATATCGGTGTAGTCAGTAAAGATCTGTTCTGGTTAGAATCTTCAGCAGCACCGTTGATAGAGTGAGTATGAGTAGTCAACTGACAATCATCTCTCGACTATTTAAAAGTCGTGATCTCCTTTCTCATTTGGAATTTTCTAGGTCGATGAGATTGTCTCTGTACCGACCAAACCTGAATGAGTACAACGTAAGAATATTGCCACAAGAATTGCTGAAGATAAAGAATTCACGACTGATCCTGTTGATAGTACCACAGCATTCGCGGGGCATCGCCATTATGGCATTGGCAGCTCACTTGATTGGATTGCGCGCTAAGCTCGTCCTCTGTGTTCAAACACTTCCTGAAGGTTCTATTGTGTCTGATGAACAAGTATGACCAATATACATTTTACGCCAACCCTTTTCCCTTTATTCTCCAGAACATATTCAAACACAACACCCACACAGCACAGAAAGATTGCAGGAAGATTGCAGAAATGTTACATTGCCAGATTGCAATATTGCAGCAATGTTGCGCAACGTTGCTGCAACGTTTCTGGAGGATTTCAGCAACGTTGAAATGTCCGCCCTCAGAGAAATTGCAGTGCAACATTATAGCAATGTTGCAGTGCAATATTTTTGGAATAATTTGTTGTTGTTTACATAAGCAGAGAATTTATTAATTACATATGCATCCGGGCCTTTTTCAATACACAGCAAGCTATTGCGAAGCAACCTAAGGAGATTATGTCGCTTCGCAATAGATGGAGATTGCGAGCAACACCGCACTGATCAAGTACTTAATAATTCGCGCATTATTGATATCAACGAAAATAATATTATAAAATTCTCGTAATTAAAAAAAAATTTGTAATAAAAATATCGTATTTTCATTATTTTTGAAACATTGCTGCAATATTGCTATCGAAAGTTTGCAATTTTATATCCCTGCAATGTCTCTGCAAGATTGCAACGTTTCTACAATGTAACTGCAACCATCTGTGCTGTATGGGCAGTTTTTATTACAGAAAACAGAATGAATGTTGATATATTATAAGTAACCATTGACAATAACTTAACGTAGAATTATTAAATTATCGAATTATATTCAAAACTAAAGGATTATCTTTGGCAACTTGAGCTTTAAGCATATAAGTTGTAGCAGTTAATAGTCATTAATAGTGAAATCATCTTCCACATATTACTGAGAAGTTGAGTGACCTGTAATATATATTTGCTATTATATACTCGTTTGTAGGAAAAATCCTTTTTTTACTATTACAATAGAAATGTGATATATCGTTTTTCTCTTAATTCATTTAGCTGACTGAACAAGCCCGAAAAGATTACAACCGGGGGAGGATGTACCTGTCGGACTACGCAACGCGTGAAGGTGTACCTGTTTTTCAGAATATCGCTGATGCTCTGCAACACGCGATACAATTAGTTCAAAGTCCTTGTTGACTTAATTACTCTTTACTGGTTTTTTTCTTTTTCCATACAGATAAGCTCCTTGGTTCGATAACTAATTTATTTTTACTTTTAACAATGTCCAGCTACCATTTGAGATCAATGCAAATACCATAGATATAACGATGACAATGCTGTATTATCATTGTTATATTTATAAAAGGCGATTATTAGCTATAGCAGTACCGTTATTGGCTGCTTTTACTGATAAGATTGCTTCTTTTCACAATGTTTCTCATTGTTAATGCTTCATCGACATATAGCCCTCACATATTACACTTTTCACTTTTCATTAACACTATCGCTTGCTTATATAGTATTATTGCTATTGTCACTTTTAAGTTCTTGACAAAATTAAAACACACAATCAAGACTTTTTATTTACGTCAGGATATTTTATTTATTATTACTATTTGTTGCGAACACAGCATTTCTCTGAAGCAATTATTTTTACTTTGTTGACCGTCGCATAACATACGGTCCTTTTATTTTTTTTATTTTATCTCTAAAGAAAAAATATTTTATAGTAACTAATGAGTCGAGCAGCTAACTGTTTTACTACTTTTTTATTATTATGTTCTTCTCTTATTGAATGACGTTAAACTCATTTAATTACGGTATATCAGTAGGAAAAAGCAGTCTCTTACGGTAGATGGACATATACGATTTTTCTCTCATTTTTTTATAGTAACTTAACTTTTGCAATTTTTTTTAATGTTTTGGTAACGTGGTTGAGGATTGATTTGATATATGTATATATAAAACTCATAATTACTCTCTAACGAGCTAATCAAATTATCTACTTTTCGAATTTGATCGAGGAGGGATGCGAGAAGGAGTATGTCGTGCGAGATTTGCTTGTATTTGAACACGTGCGTCCATATATCAGCTGAGTATATGTATATATACCGATATGCGTGCGTAGGATATATCATAAATTTGCACTATTTAATATATTTCAATAGCCACAGATGTGAAATTTCAAACTGTCGACGATAATTTCAACAAGCCGAAGCGTGTCTTAACGAAATCAGTGTGTAGTGTATGAGTGAATAAGCGAATGAAAGAAAAAAAAACGAGATAGAACATAGGCAAGAACAATATGCTTTAAGCTATTCAATACCTGCGAATTGTACGGGACCTTGCTCAGAGATTTTCATCGTTCGAAGGAACAAAGGAGAAAAAGAAAGTAACTCAAGAGAAAAATCGTTTATTATATTCTTTTGTATAAATATCATACAGTAGTACACAGGTATCTTATCATTTCTCTTTTTGAAATAAAACAAAGCTATTATCGTTTCTTACGTATTTCCTTTCGGCATGTTTCTTGTCGCACGAGATATATCGATACGTCTGTTGTGTACAACAACGAATAAAAATTCCTAAAACTGCGCTCTTATTGTTTGTTAAGATTATGTAATCCCGACTAATGGTGTCAGTCTTAAATGTGTCTAAATTTAATGTATTAAAGATACTTGAAATACGATACATTTAACGCTGTAACGCGTGAATAAAAGCTTAGATAAGAACCTTTGCATGAAATTATATATTTGTTATCGCAACTCATTACCTTTCGATTGAAATGATTTTGAACGAATCATTGCACGATCATGTGGATACATATGTATATGACAGTCGAAAAGTTACTTTTTACTCGGCTTTCGGTCTACAGTCTTCGTTATTTTTACTTTCTCGGTGATCTACCATTTTGTCCTTTCCAGAGAAGTAGTATCTTCGTATATTCTTGAGTGATAACAGCACCGGTATCATAGCCGGCAGAAATAGGGGAATGTACACGGCGTACCTGTAATATCACAAAATTACTTGTAATTTAAAAATATATGCTGAATTTTCGTAATGTTTCTCTATTAATTTTATACGAATACATAGGTATAAGAACATCCGGGAAGAAAAATCCACGAAATAACAGAAAACAAGAAAAATTAGACAAAAATGTTTCATAACTTTACTTAAAGTAAATTTTTTAAAATGAAATTTACAATATAAGTTCTATAATTCTTAGGAAAAAACATACAGTAATTACAGACATAAACGTACAGATGCATACAGCAATTATAACGCGTACTTTTTACGAAATATTTTTAATTCATCTTTTCTAATATTTTTAACATAATTTATTCCACCCCAGTAATTTCTTATGTATAAATATATTTTGTAAATTATATCCATTGTTTTAAAGAATTTAACTTAATAATTTATGTACGGAATAATATATTTAAATAAAATTGGCTCCATAGCAATGTAAAGAAACCATATTGCATTTGAAAAAAATGCACCGTGCAATTGAAAAAGTCAGTGTATATAATTATTATATATTTCCTACTTCATCTTTCAAGTTGCGAAATGGCATCGTTTCCTTTTTTCCAATAATACTATTGGATAATACATTGGTTCACATTTTTAATTGTTTCCATTTTTCAAGATAACTTAATATTACACTCACTTTTGATCCTCTGGAAAGTAAAGAAGCGCCAAGAGTGTCGGGTCGGAAAAGGCCGCCTCAGATATAACGAAAGCTTCTTTACTAAGGATGAAACTACGTTCGAGATCGCCCCGTCGCAGATGCTCAGTGGAGTCGTGCACCAGCTCGAGCGCAGTCTTGATTCTGTTTCCTACTACGTCCGTGATAACGATATTACTAATCTCTTTGAGTAGCCGCGCCAATGATTGCAGAGTTAATTTGGCCGAAGTCAACTGCTCGACGGTGCGATACCTCAATAAGGAATCAATTTCCCAGTCGCGTGATTTTAGCCCTACTAATGGCACAACTGTCACTCCGTCAATAGATTTCTGAAATTGTTTACTTCTTAAATCGTGTTTATACTCTTTTTTTATATTGATAAAAGATTACAGAATAAAATATTCTATATGTATAAATAAATTATAATTACAAGAAATAGAAAATTTATTCTGTAATGAATTTTATACCGGATAGCCCATTTTAAGTGACGTATTGATTTTTCTCGGAAATCAAGATTTGTACTAAAAGACGTTTCAAACAAGAGTTGTTTTTCGAACGGGGACATAAGATGGTACCATTGGTTTGACCTTGGGTGAACGTGCCAAGGTCATAGAAAGGTCAACTGTATTATTTTAAATGGAATCCCCTATTTTTCATTAGATATACATGGTGTTAATAAATTCATGTTACAACGCTTGAGGGGTGAAAGTACAAATCAAAACAAACATTTTTTACCAATACACATGGGGGCGGAAACGAACCCCTAACCCGCTGGAACGCGCAAAAAGTTCAGGGTAGGCAACCCGTTGTGTACATCTTTTACTACGCTGGCCGCTACGTTTAAGAACAAATGTTGGGATTTTGTTTAAAACAACAACAGTTCAATTAAACAACGGTTTATTAACAGTTCTGTAAACCAATAACACATTTTAGAGCAAGGGCTCGAAATGACGACCACCTTGATCGACGTGCAAGTGGCAACGGCGAATCATGTTTCTTTTATCCTATGCAACTTGCCTGGAGAAGCTCGTATCTCATCAAACGCTTGGATAATTCTTTCGGTGAGCTCTTCAACGGTTTGCACTGACCGTAAACCATGGCTTTTAGGAGTCAACGGGTTGCCTACCCTGAACTCATCGCGCGTTCCAACGGGTTAGGGGTTCGTTTCCGTCCCCATGTGTATTGATAAAAAAGGTTTGTTTTGATTTGTACTTTCACCCCTCAAGCGTTGTAACATGAATTTATTAACACCCTGTATAAGCGTAGCTAGGACCGCGCGCGCGAGACCGACCGTGTAAGTTTACGCGAGTACGCGAGTTGACGGGCCCTCAGATTTTCGGATCTCAACAACGGCTGATCCGACGATCCGGCTGATGCGCTCAATCGATAGCTTGGTTTTGCATGATAAAAGTGTTTTCATTTTTCTCCTATGTGCCCCATGATCTTCACTATTGCAATGCAAAGTCAGTTTTGTCAAATTTTTGCTTAAGAAACATCTTGATAGTCCAGCGTCACGTGCTAATTGCGGTCGATTGCGACAAAAATAAAAAATAAAGAATAGGAAACTTTTTTAGTCGCTTGAATACACTCTGCCACAAAAAGTGGCGTGGTAATTATATCAGATACCCAGCTATGTTTAAAAATATTTAGAATAGAATATGTTAGGAGGTTGTTCGTTACCGTTTCTGGAATGCCTAATAATAGTCGGAGCTGAGCCAGAAATGTGCCTACTATGGCAGTTTCTTCGGGAACAACAGTAACTGCTTCATCCTCTCGCGCGCTCTCACATATCTCTGATGGTGGATTAATCAAAACCACACCGCCCCATCTATATTAAATGTACAATGTTGATAAAAATTAACTAAACTAATTTGGAAATAATGTGTTTCTAAAAAAACACGACTTTAATGGAAGATAAATATTATATACGGGGTGTCCTAACGCACTGCCTGTTAATGACAGTTTCTTGAGATTATTTTGAGATAATAATCCTAATATCAAAATACCGAGAATACAATAGTTTTTAAATGAGAAGTGTTAAAGGCAACAAATCACGAGACACGGTAGTGTCTCTTTTTGTTTGACTTTTCTGTTTATTTCGATCCATTCTACCTTCTCACGAGCGTTGTAAAAAAAGATATAACTCACCCTGTATACGTTGGCGTATGCAGATGATATAGCGGTGTTGGCAGAGGATGAGGCGGGAATAAAGGGGATTATGAGGGAAGAGGAAGGATACTTAGACAAAAAAGGACTAGTGGCAAACACAGGGAAGACCAAGGTAATGAGGTGCAGGAAAGGAGGAGGGAGATGGAGAAAGACAACTTGGAGGTGGAAAGGGAAGACAATAAAAGTGGTTATAAAGAGTACAAGTATCTGGCATATATAATGAGTGGAAGCGGAAAGCAGGAAGCACATATAAGGGAGAGTTAGAAAAGGAGCGGTATTGATGGGGCAGGTATGGGGGATAGGAAAGAGAAGGTTTAGGGGGCACTGGGAAAAAAGAATATGGCTATTTGACAGGTTGATTTGGACGGTGATTAGTTATGGGGTGGAAGTTTTGGGTTGGAAGGAAAGGGAGAGAATGGAAAAATTATAGGACAGATATATGAGGTGGTTGTTGGGAGTGAGTGGAGAGATATACGCCGTATATGATAAGGAAAGAATTGAAAAGGGAGATGTTGAAAGGAAGGACGGGCATGAGGGCACTGGGGTATGAAAAGAAGTTGGAGGAAGGAAGAGGGGGGCAATTGGTCAGGGAATGTTGGAAAGAATAGAGGCAAAGAGCGAAGGAAGGGTAAGCAGGGAGGAGATGGGAGGAAGAAAGGAAGGAATATTTGGAAAGTAGAGAAGATGGAGAGGTTGGGGGACAATGGAGAGAGAAGGGGATACAAAAGGGAGGGGAGAATGCAAAGGGAGGAAAGATGGAAAGAAATAGAGGAATCCGAATATAACAGGTGGTATAAAATGATAAAGGAAGGAGTGTTGGATTACTTAAAGAAAGATTGGAGGGAGAGCAGGTGGCAATGGGTGACGAGATATAGATTGGGGAGTGGGATGGAAGGAGGAAAATACTGGGAAGATGAAGGGAAGAGAAAATGCAGGATATGTGGAAGGGGGGGGGGGAGGAAACATGGGAGCATATGTGGGAGGAGTAGACTGGGGGATAGGAAAAACATGGCAGGATATGGTGGAAGAAGTGCTAGGGGAAGAAGGGGAGGGGGAAAGATGGATGAGGATGTTGGAGGGTCTAAGGAAAGACGTAGGGGGTATGGTGGGAGGGATGGAGAGTAAATGTGAAGGAATGAATGAGAGGGAGTGAAAGAGAAAAAGAGAAAGAAAGTACAATATAAGGAGAAATAGGAAAAGGAGATTGTAAACGGAAACGGAAATCCAGATAGGGTTACAAAACCCTAAGGGAAATTAATAAATTTATATAGTATATGTATAATTAATTAATCGCGGCATTTTGGTATTAGAATTTTCGTCACCAAATAATCTTAGAAATTTGTCATTAACGGGTGCGTTAGGTTCGGTTTAGGACACCCTACATATATTACAATAAATAATAATGAACATAAGCAATCCTGTTATTCGTGTGCATTTAAAATAATATTAAGAATATTTATGAGAATAAATCACACACGCACACGCACATGCACACGCGCACGCACACAAATCAGGAGTGAAAGATACCTCGGAGAGAGAAAGGCTTCCACATTGCTGTCAGTTCGCGATCTGTGTCCGCTGCGGGTGTATATATGTAGAGGCGCGTTGTCACATGGTACCATATAAACGACCAAATTGATACACGGATGAAGACTAACCTGCGACGCTAAAATTTAAAATTCTTGATGGAAACATTTCGCTGAAAATACAATGGAGTTGATGAAAAATGAAATAAAAGTAACTAAAAATTTCTTCACTATAGTAGTGTCAAATATAAGAAAAGTTAAAATAAACTTCATTGCTGTGTCACAGTCGTTATAACATCGTCGCTGCGGACTGTCGAATTAGATAGATAATGCTGTAACCACATGTAGTGCTTTGACCGACTACGTTAAATTTTATCCACGAGTCTAACTGAAGAAGACCCGAAGAAGGGTCGAAACGTTTTATATTAAAGAGAAATTCTTTCTCCTGTATTGTGAGAACCGAATTCCGTTCATTTTGTGGCTCACATTGGCACTTCTCCATCCTACATATTAAAATGAACTGTTGTGTTGGGAGCCGATACATATTATCGGCTGACATAGTGCGACGACGATGTAGATAGCGTTAAGAACATCGAGCGCTGCGTATCTCGCATGTCCTTTGTACAGCCTAGTTGGTGTTTAGTCGTCGAGAGAGAAGCTTGGCTTACTTGATTATTATTAAAGTTCTTATCGACTAGAATTGTGTCTACGTTTTCACACCCATACTAAACCAAACATGTTGTAAAATAATTTATAAAAGTAGAAACTCTATTATAGAGGATTTTACAAAGTTTACTGAATTTAAGTAAAAACTGGGTTACTTTTTAATAAAACTGACTTTTCAATGAGTTTTTACTGAAATATTAATAAAATGATAATGAAAAGGGATCAATTGAGAGAGATGTTCAAATACATTTAAGTAAAATTTCATTACATTTTCAGTAAAATATTTCCAGGGATAGTTTTTTTATGCCTGTACTTTTTGCATGCGTTACAAACCTAATTTTTTCTCCAACGGCGTCACGAGCTGTGGCAAGACGCTCTCGCGTAAGGCAAAGTGCCTACGGTTTGGGCTACTGTCGGGCACACGTCTAGGATTCATATCTAATGGCAGCAAGTAGAGCCATTGCGACTTGACCGAAAAGTTACTCAGGATGGACAGCTCATCCAGAAATGGTTGCATGTACTCTACGACAGGAAATTAAATTGCAGTCACAAATATGAATTGTCATGCAATTCACACTAACGATTAAAATCGTCATTGTGATAATAAACAATATTTAATAAAAAGTAGCAACATATCTGATTAATTCGCAATTTTCAAATGTCTTGTTCATATGCAAATTCAAAATGGTTGATTCGATAGCGGGCAGATTTTCAAAAAGTAATATAAATATCGTGAAACTTTGTTTTAGAAAATTTTTAATATTACTAAGTAACACCAAGTTTTCAATACCATTTTATTTAGAGCTCATCAATTTACGCAAACGGTTGATAACTGACTCGACTTAATGTCATATTGTAGTTCATATGATGTTCAATTACCTTCAGTTACCGTCTTGAGGTTCCAAACGATCTTTAGCTTTTCAGGATCAGGATTAACTAAGGTGACTAGAACGTCGTATGCCAGACTGGCTGGAAATCGTCTCCTGTTTTCTTCATCTAAACTGTACATAGTAGGCTCCGCGAGCGCGTTTTTCGTCAGTGCCAATGATTTATCATGCAGAATCCATTCTGACAATACTTGTATCAATTTAGCAATACCTAGAGACATATACAGTAAAACCTCTTTTATCCGAGGTAATGTGGGGAGGGGGTACCTCGGACAAAGCTCGGACAACACGGAAGAAACACAAAATTCGAAAACTTTTATTATTTTCTATATATTTAAAATGCTACAATGGAATTTAACCCCATGAACATATAAAAGTAAAAATTTAACGACTTTTTTCCGCTTCTGCGACATGGCGATGTTTTTCCAAGGACTGTTGAAGCCCAACTGTTAAATTCTAGCTCACAACCGAGGAGCACAAAGCATGTAGTAACAAGTTTATGCTTGTTTAAGCAAAAAGTATGTTGCAATCGCAAACTACTCCGCGCATACACCATATCGGCGTCATCCGTTTTATCCGAGTTTTTCCGTATTATTCAAGCGCACACCTCGATTAACGCGGAGTGCTCGGATAAGTCCGGTGGCTCGGATAACGCGGAGCCTCGGTTGATCGAAGACCGTATAACCGAGATTCTACTGTATTGATATTTATACAAGGTGTCCGACGCGAGAGGACCCTTACGAAAAATGGTGGTAGATTGGGTCAGACTAGTGTAAGATGAAAAGTCATGTACCATTTTACAAAATTTGCATTAGCTATCGAATTTCTCATCTCAATCTGACCCAATCTACCATCATTGTTCGCCCCCCCCCCCCCCACGGGGATTCTCTTGCATCAGGCACCCTGTATAATCTAACAATAAGTACATCGTAAGAAAAAATATCATCACAGATGTGTCACAAATGTAATTGTAGCTATGAGTAACATATAAATTATTTCCTTTTCAATATAAAGCTACAGTAGATATGTAAAGAACAGAATAAGATAAATGGATTGAATATTCATTTTGGATTTGAATGAAAAATACAAAATTGAGACGGGAAACTCTAAAAAGAGACTACAAGCAAATGCCTCTTTCTAATTGTCATAAACGTAGAACGTTTTCTACCTCAGTGATGTAAATGTGTATTAAATAAATCGTGGCTTACGACTTATAAATTATTTAAAAAAAAATATCAAATCTAATACAGGTTTAAACTTCCAACACGCAATTAGGTCGCAAGCGAACTACTTCGATAACGATCAACTTACTGGTTTCAGTAGAGAAATACAGCGTTCTCTTGGAACCAACTAAAACAGCGTCATTCAAATTTGTTGCTTCCAGCAGTAATAAGCTACCTACATCCAGGTCGAAAGTAGAAGCTACCTTTTCGAGCTCGTGATATGTGAAAACAGACGCTAAGAGATTATTGGAAATTACCTGATATTCCACGTCGAGTTGATATATTTCTGAAAACCGAGTTGAAATCAGAGAATAATAAGTTGTCAGTCTAAAAATTCAAAAATTTCGTATACATGAATTAATTTAAAAAAATAGGAAAAAGATGTGAAAGAGATATTGAGAGACGGCGCAAAATTTGTACAAAAATTAATATCTGTAAAATTAAAGTTATGTTAAAAAATTATGAAATTAATTACAGTATATTATTAAATATTACTAAGAAGTCAAAATATAAACTTTATCCTTAAAAAATCATCAAGTCTTGCATAAAATTTTTATGGAATAAGTATTAAAAATTTGTCTCCTTAATATTATTATTTCCTTTATTTCTTCTGATAAAATTTTATGCTCGATTGTTTGATATAACATTTTAATATAAAAAATAATAAAATACCTAGTTTTTATAAATATTCAGTTTAGTTGGCGCCATTTGATGATATCATTACTTTTGTAGAGAAGATACTTTGGAGGGAGGGAGAAAATAAAAATTTTTTAAAAATAAAAGATATCCAAATAATTGAATTATATTATTCTTGATTGGATGACGTTTATTCCTAATACATGTAAAAAATTTCGTTTAAAAATAGTTAAAAAAATAATAAAAAATTTGAAGATTTAATTTTGAGATACAATAGTTCTGAGCGATTTATACCGTTATTACATCTGTTCTGTTTCGTTTTGTTTTGCTACTAATACGAATTTTATTTGCGTCGTGGTGCGAGTTATTTTAATTTGTATTCGCTGCTGTATACTAGTTATTTTGATTTGTCTTCTTTATAATGTATTCGTTGTTTGGATTTTTGTACTGGCAGCACTGCGTTGGTTTTTTAGTTTGAATTAGTAGACACGAGGAGTTTATACATATGGATAATAAAGATACTGTTTCTATCCAAATTTATTTCGAAGAGTTTTCGCTAAATAAAAATAATTTAAAAGCTAAGAAACTCTTAAACTCTTCAAAAGGAAGCGGGAACTCAGACCAGAACTACCAAATTTTTAAGTTAGGGTGCTTAACTTTACACACCCCTGAAGTTCTGAATATATAGAGATATGCATGTAAATCATATTCATTACATTATTTTTATATTAGTTATTTTCTCGCTAGATGATACAATGTAAGATTGTTAATGTAAATTTTGCCAAGTCAAACCCGGATCTATGTATAAATATCACAGATCAAAGGTCTTTGTTTATTTTGACAGTTACAATGAATGTATTCGGGTCAGTGTCAAGGATTGAGATGCGCATCAGATACTGAATATCAACAAATATACAAGTCAAGCTCTTACGTCAAACGATCAATCAAGATAATAATGCTAGTCGAATTCTTCAGTGTTTTCTTCGTTAAGATTTTCATATATTGTAGAAAGATATTACAATTAAATATGGAGCCCCGATATAAGTCTAAAATTTCTGCAATCTCTACTAATAGAACGCAGAACAAAAATTTTTATCTTATTTGCAACCCAGTGAGGAATAATTCGTCGCCCGACATCGAAATAAGGTCGAATTGACGTCAATTTGACGGTGTTGATGTCGATTCAACGTCGTTTCGACATCATTTCGACGTCGGGCGACGAATCATTTCTCACTGAGAAATCGTCATTAAGATATAAAGTTCTGATGGATACTACACTGAAAAAAAATCTGGTAGATTCAACCAGTCGTCTGGTAGAAAATGGACGAATCAGAATTCCCTTTAGGATTTACCAGATTTTTAGTGAAGTCTACCAAACTTCTGGTTATGAAATATCTTTCATGGTGAATCCTAAAGGAATTCTGGTAAATTCTAAAGCCTATCACACAATGCCAGGCAACAGGCAACAGGAACAGGGAATAGAATTTCTGACGCATCGGATTGGTTGGAAGAAAATTTCCGACAAATCCAACGCGTCAAAAATTCTATTTCCTATTCCTATTGCCTGTTGCCTGGCATTGTGTGGTAGGCTTAAAGGAATTCTGATTCGTCCATTTTCTAACAGACGACTGGTTGAATCTACCAGATTTTTTTCTCAGTGTAGAAATATGTTTCATCTGTTGCAAACGTGGAATTCATAAGTCCTTCTAAAATTGTAGCCGATGTCAGTTAGTTTCACTGATTCTCGCAGGATTTTATTCTTATTATATAATTACTCAATAGAATTGTTTTATTAATAAACTTTATAAATGTTAACTCTTCCTTAATACCGCCATTCTTTTCGTTTTAATTTAAGATTTCACTTTCAGTTCCTTCGCTCTTCAATATCACGCGAAATCCAGTTCCAGGTAATAGGAATTAAGTTCCTTTACCCGAAAACAGGGCCGACGACCGAACAGCTCGCGGAAGACATTATATCTTTCAGGACGTTGACCCGTTTCCAGAGAACAAGGTGCATTCGATTCACGACACACGTCCGAATCGTGTATCTGCGAGAGAGAATGTCTGTGCATCACATCTTTCCGTACTTATACTGTGTCTAACCCTTCTATTTTCCCGAAAAATAAAAAAATTCTAAAATTTGAATGTAACACTTGTTAGATATATTAATTTCGTTGTATATATTTTTTATTTAAATATTTTTTAATTTATTAATATTATTTAAATAATTACATTTAAATTTTTATTTCTATTTTATTTCAATTAAAATTGCAAAGTCTTTCCATACGATTAAAGTACACATAAAAATAAAGTGGGTCGCTTTTATATAAAAACCGACGAGAGATTAAAAATATCACTTATATTGTCGTCAGGTGACAACTCTACATACCAATAATAAAGCCAATTTAAAATGTATTTGAAATCAGAAATTGAAAATTTCGGATATTAGATAGTTTCTTTTATTAGACTTCTAAACCCAGTATTTGAAGTATGAAAATGTATAGTGCGGTCCGCACCCTATCCTGGTATTATTTTGTGCATAAAAGCCCATAAAAAGATTTACGAGCGCAAAAATTATTATATATTGTAATTGTGTTATCGATACAAATGGCTTTAGAATCCCCACCTGATTAACGCTCACAACAAATTGCATTAGTTAATTCTTAATAAAAAAATATATAATATCGATCCTATTTGATGATAGATCAAAATATAGTAGCAATGGAACCAGAAATTTTTCGATGGGTGGTCAATCATTGAAGTTATTAGAATTTTTCGCGCAGTATACATAATCAGTGAACAAATATGTCACAATGAATGAATCACTTGATGCTTCGTGGTTTGTTTTCACTTACCAGCGTTTGCGAACGTTCGCCTAATTTCATGTACGAGCGACTCGGCGCGATTGTGTGAGAGTGCCGCAACGATGATCTTTGTGGTAATTTTGATGTCCAGTTGCGACAATTCATCGATTCCGGCATAAGGAAGAGTAACACGAGGCACTGTCGTAGTGTGCCACCAGAGAGGCACGCCGATCCCTAATAATAATACTGCAAACGATACACTTGCGTACACTCTGTATTTTTCTGTAACATAAGATGACATGATATTCAGAAATTATGTGCAATTATATGTATAAAGTATAAAAATGGTTTTATAAATCGATATATGTATATTATAAGTAAAACATTTTGTATGATGTGTACATATGTATGTACATACATACTATATTCATACAAAATGAGATATTAAAGACAGATTACTCTTATTTTAATACATGTAAAAAAATTGACATTGAAATATCATTTTTATTGAAAAAGTGAAATATAAAAAATTAATATAAAATAGAAATAAATGTAAAATATAAAATTTGACGCTTTTAAAAATGTTAATGGTGTTTTTAATCATTGAAAATCCAAATATCAATTTCACGTTATTGATATTCTGCGAAATTGATATTGCTGCTATTTTTGTTAATTGGCTACGATAAAGATGATGCTTTTTCACTTATTTCAGTCAATTTGGCTTTTTGTTTTAAAATAAACAGTAAAATTCTGTCTGTTACTACATAAGTTTATCTCGCACCCTCGGAGATTACTGTTACTTTTTCATTGTTTGCTAATTTTTACAACTTTATATTATTGCTTGTTCCATATTTTTATTTGTAAAAAAATTAGTTTGTATAATATTGTAACATTTGTCATAAAAATTGTTAAATTCTTTTAGTCTTCTTGATATACATCTCCTAATGACATACGAGAAACACATTTCTTTTTAATTTAAATTTTTGCGATATATTACAAAGTGGTTCACTGATTCTCGTTCGGTTTCCATCTGTAAAGACAGCAAACGCTTTTTCCGCCCTCTTAACCTTCAAGATAAAATTGAACCAGATCCAATTTGGTCGACAGTATTCTACCGTACGGGTATGACGGAACATTCAGTTCAATGTTAAGTTCGCGACCATGCGATATCGTGATTGCCAGATTATCTGAATACGACAGTCGATTTTTGACAATCGATAAATACCATTACGAGATCCGATAACTGTGTGCCAATCGCGAAAATTCCGAGAAACGATGTAATTACGATGACGCTAAATAACGACGTCGAGTTATGTAACAATTATTATGTTGTTAGATCCTAACGATGCGCTTCAAAATTAAATTTTTCCGTCATTAAAAAGATTTTCCGAGAAAATATGAATAATATTATCAAATTGAGATCTTTTAGAGAAGAGTACATATAATATAAACGGACGATAAAAATAATAAAATATTCATGAAGATAAATCCAATCTGAATTTGTTTAATTAAACGCAAAATTTCGTAAAACTAATTAATGATTATCACTTACGTCTCATTCCATTCTAATTGCGAATGCATACAAACGTGCTTTAAGTTGATATGCATTATTAATCGATGATTGTATTGTTGACTAAAACAGATGTTCATGTGTTACCGTGCCATGCCGTATCACATGTCAAATGTAAATTATCAAATTTGAAACTATTAAATCTTGTCACGTGTTCATTCTGGAGGTAAACGAATACTCATCGTCGTGAATGTGAGCTGGCAAGATCGTAAGTATGTATGATGTAAAAATATATTACAGTTAGCGTACAGTATTGTACAAATTTATTATTCAGCGGATTATCAATTTTAAGATTTTTTATTATAACAACACTTAATTTTTTATTTGAAAAAAAAAATTTGTTGAAATTGGAAATTGGCACATTGTTTCCTCATCTGGCCAAGCTATTTCTTCTATTTTAAACGTACAAATTAGAAATTTGCACAGTGCTCATTATCTTTGCAAGTTTTTTTCCATTTTAGCTGCGAAAGCAATATACAAGTTTCTAATTCTCCTCCTGTGCGCATGCGGGTTTTTGGTTTCTTCATAGAAGTTTTGTGTGCGAATTAAAATTATTAAAATTCTAAGGAAGCAATTTTCAATTTGCATCTTAACTCAGAAAGCTTCCTCTATGACGAGAGAAGTCAACATTAAAAAAAACAACTTTCCTAGATATTTTTTATTCGATTTGAAATACAGGGTGTCCCTGAATGGTCTGTACAAACTTTTGGAATAAGTTCCAGGGACCTAAACAAGCAGAAATGTCCCCATGGGGTCGGAAACGCTTGCTTCTGGAATTACGACGTTTCGAAGTTCCCTACCATGGCTGGAGAAATTATCACGTCAAATCGCATAGGTGTTACAAAGTTTATTTATTGAAAACCCTTGTTTATTCTATCTCAGTACCGGACGTAGCAACTCTTCGCCAGCGAATCGTGGACGGCTGCGACACCATCCGTAATACACCAGGTATTTTCCAACATGTTCGAAACTTCGACGTTCGAACTTCGAAACGTCGTAACTCCAGAAGCAAGCATTTTCGACCCCATGTTCATGGGACATTTCTGCTTGTTTAGGTCCCTTGAACTTATTCCAAAAATTTGTACAGACCATTCAGGGACACCCTGTATTTATCTTAAGATACAAATATATGCTTGTATACCTAATATACCTATTTTCAATTACATATTTCTATAATGTTTTTATATAAAGTAAACAATTAATTAATGTTTATTTTCTTAAATATATATTATATGTGTGCGTGCGCGTGCTTGTGTGCGTGTGCGCGTGTGAGATACTGATTATACAAAAAATATCAATACAATAGTATAAGATGTTCAAATTTTTTTACTACTAAAATTTTATTTACTAAAAAACTAAAAATATTAATTATAATCAGATTTCATGTTTGTTACATTTGATGTCAAACTGTGTTTTCTTTCCATTAATAAAATCCAAAACAAATATAAATTCTTTTAGTTTTTATTTATTAAATTTAAAAATGTAATTTTGAGGAAAGTCGGTTTAGCAAACCTTTGATTGATAAAATTTATATATGCGTTTAAGATTATTCAAATATACTGAGGTCATATAAGGCTTTCAGTTTCTTTGGAAGACTCCTTTAGTTTAGGCCTATTTCGTTTGTTTATAGCTGTTTAAGTTGCTTTTGATGGTTACAATAAATATTTATATAATAACATCTTATAATTAGCTTGCATTATGCAAATTTAAAGAAATAAACAGCGAATTTATACTATTCTTGAGCTTCCGAATCTCACAAGTTAAAAAATTTAATCATATAAAGATAAGAATATCGAATAATGTTTTATAATAAAAATACAAACTATATTTATGAGCTGTTAAATCGACTAGTTTTTATTTTTAATTACAATCTTTAATCTTTAAATAATGTATAAATTTTTAATTTCCATCGGCTAATTTTAAGAAGAGGTTGGAAAGGAGATAAATAATTATTTAAAACATACATTAACTTAATTTACATTACAAAAAATTGATTTCTACTTACGATAACGAACTTAAAATTTTAATTTTGTTAACGTCGAAGGCTTACTTCAAGACACTGAGCCGTTTGTTTCTTTACTTCCGCATGGAAGACATGTGGAAGATTAACTACACAGAGATGTGTAATGTACTGTGACATCATGCTTGCAATTGCATAGATTGGCATAGAACAAAGTCGACGAAATTGCTTGAAAATAAAATAACTATCGAAGAATTTTAATGTTTAAATTAAACGTTTCAAAATAGATTTTTAACAATTTACAAAGCTACAATATAATCATTTGTTATTAAACACAAAAAAGGATCATACTAATACATGTGCAATAAGTAGCCCGATGCCGCGATCTAAAATAATATAAATTAACGCCCAAAAGTTATTAAAATTATTATATTTTAATATTATAATATTCTAAAATCATGTATATGTGTACAATTACAGAACACAGCTATGCATAGACAATATACATGACAAAGAGTACTTTTGTTACTGGTAAATTTAATTTTAGAATATTGATGAAAATTGCTCTTTCTGCCTTCCTTCGTTACTTCCTCCCCCCTTTCTCTTCTATCTTTTCCAATTATTTTCATTAAATTGATAAAAGTAAATATTACAATATTTACTTCTATTATAAACTATAAAGTTATTAGAAATGGCATAGAATTAGGTCCCTACATATTACATCATAAATATGTAAATCACATCCGCCTAAAAAAACATAAAAAATGTAAACAAATACCAAATATATTTTATTGTTTTATGCAAAATCACTTTGTAAATAAACAAGTGTTTTTCATAAATTTTTAGCTCTCTGTATTTCAATTCTCTAAAATTGTACAAGAGATCTAAAGGTCTATTGCAATGTTTCGTAAAACATATATGTGCATTTGAATTTATCATTGCTATTACACGAGGGTTAAACGAACTGACATATAAAGCGAGCGTAGTTCCATACTTAGCAGATCAATTAATCTGCTCCGTCTTTATGTTACGTAAACGCGTCTATCATCCGGGAAATGTGTAACTACACTCCATGTTAAGTGTAAACGCGTTACACGTTATCTGTGAAAAATGCGAAATCACAAATTGTGGTTAACCAAACAACTCTACTTCTTTCGCAAGTCAACAATTGTAGGAAATATGAAATTCCTGTAATATGCGATATAAACAAATTACAAAAGATATAAATTACTTTCTTTATGAAAAGAAATATGATACATTACGATGAAACCAGAATTTTCCGGTTTCCGATATGAAATATAATTACATGCAATTCGATATGAGCTTTTAATTAAGTAATGTCGTAATCAACGTTATAGATAGTAATTGCATTGTTCATTTCTAAACCTACATAAATCTTATTTAAGGACTAATTTCGAATAATTAAAAACGGTCATACATATAACTGAATTAAGAAGATATGCATTTAATATCCGCGATATATACCTATACAAAACTAATTACGACGTTACATTTTTCGTAATTTCTTGGTAAGGTAATTTCATCGAATTAATTAAAACTAAATTTTAATGAAATAAATCTAACATAATATTCAACTTACTTATTATTAACTCAATTATTATTAAAAAGATAACAATTTAATAATCTTGAATATAATTCTGAGAGCCTGCGTATTTTCGAAATATCATTTTCTGATTCTGTCGTTATATTATTTTATACTGTAAATTTTTAGTTAAACATTAATAGCTGTTT